ATCTCTGCCGAGAGTCGCACATGCGCAATAGCTTCTCTGCTGAGTGTCAACTAACAGAAATGGCGGCGTCCGACACAGCAGCTACGCGTACCAAAACATCTAAGGCCAGGGACACACCGGCCGCGGAAGCGCCGCAAAGCGCCGAGAAGCGAATCGCTCACGAAATTCGGCCGCTGCTCGCCGCTCCTCATTTCAGATCAGACGCGCCCCAGTCGAGGCGCGCCTCGGCTCAGCTGTAGTTTTTCTTTTAAAACACTTGGTGTCCTCAATTTCCTCTCTGCCTTTTCTCAGCTATTTTCCTCTACGTGTGCGCGCGCGCGCATGTGCGTGCGTGTGTGTGTGTGTGTGTGAACCTATGGTATGAGTTGTTTCTGCCAGTTGAATCTCTTGGAACCCGCTCCAATTCTGCGGCTGTATCCTAGCAGTTTCTTCCGAAATGGGTACGTAAATAATCATGTTTTTCGAGGGTCGTACAGCTCCTTGTGTTTCTCAACCTCCATAATTAATTTAAAGTCATCCATCTTAACTGCTTGCCTCAGACTTTCTGCCTCTCTGTCCTGTTTGCTCTGGTGAAAAGACACCCAAAACCACACCCCCCTTCACGTGGTCACACACGCACACAAGTTCGATGTGTGTGTGTGTGTTCGTGTGGTTTTTCTTTAGTGTCTGTTTGCGAACACATTTGACTATTGTGGAATTTTATTTTGAAATGCTTTATTTTGTTAACTTTACCGGCCTGCCTCTTATGTCTAGGTTTGACTTCCTGCCAGAATTGACGCGATTCACCCGCGGCTCGCGAAAAAAATAGAGCCGACGCCGAAATGATCGCTGCACGGCGCGGGCTGGGGCGCCGGCGCGAGGCGATTCGCGGCGCTTCGGCGGCCCATGTGGTCTATAGAATAGCTCAACAAGGGCGCCGAATGAAGGCGGCCCCATTTTCGCGGCGCTTCCGCGGCCGGTGTGTCCCCGGTGTAAAGTTTGGGAGCATTCTAGCCTGGATTCGGCGAATAAAAAGATGACCTGCATTATTTGCAAAGCAGTCCTCGCGTATCACAGCAGCACCTCGGTGATGCTGGAACACTTAAAGACAGTTGAATGAAACAGAGTCTGACTCACCTCGGTAAGATTGAAATAACACGAAAGCCAATACGTTTTGTTTTGGATGTACATTTTTTTAAACGTATTTTTGAGAGATTTAATGTTATGCCCGACTGTGCCTGACAAAAGTATTTTAATTTTATTCATGCATTAATGTCTATACTGACTGGGCACTGTGCCTAATTGGTGTTAGATAGGGTATTTTTTATTTACTTTATGCATTTACTTTATGCTAATACCGTAAATCCTCTAATACAGGCCCGGGCCTGTATTTGACTCAAGCTCATCAAGCTCCAGGCCTTTATTGGAAGGAGGGCCAGAATTAGAGGCAGGCCTCTATTTCTATTTGAGCAAAATGAACTAATGGTTCGCTGGAGTTTTTGACAATTAAAATTGCGCCCACATTTTCAAAGTTAAACACATTTCTTTTAACAACGGTAGTTTCTGCTTCAGCCCTCTCCCCCCTCCCTCTGCGCAGTGGCCGCAAACTCACTGATGCGCCTGCAGCCTCTCGGAGTTCCTGCTGCTCTAAACATTAAAATAATTATTTCATTTTCTGTTTCTCACTTCTGATGACCTTCAATGGTGTCTGTTTGTTGCAACCACCAGTTACAAAAACTAACTTGTTTTTATTTGACTATTTTTCTGTCCTGCCTGTTTATTATCTTCCTGCATCTCCTCTCAATCCTAAAGAAAAACTGCTACCTGGGTTCATATATATTCACCTTATGAGTTACCTTTGAACTGCAGTTCTAAAAGATCTACCGACCGCAAAAACAGCGGAGTGCTCGCTGTTTGGCAGCCGCATCAGTGATCGGTGCGTCGGAGGACAAGGTGATGTGCCCCGCTCCACAGCGAAACACATCAGGCGCAAATAAAAGACAGAAAACATCAAAGGAAATGAGCCGACATGAACGATCGCGTGTCAGTACCGATGCTCTGGCACAGCGCGTTGCCCCCCCCCCCCCCCCCCCCCCCCGACGCGCAGGAGCTTGTCACCTGCTGACAGCAGGCTGCTGTCTTTTCCGAGGACTGCATCTTGCCGGTCATTATCATGTGACAGCGACTAGTCGACGACAGGCATAAAAAGTCACTATAGAGCGGTGAAGTCGACTAGTGACTAGTTCATACAACCCCTGCTACTGCTCCCCAGAGTGTTCTGCAGCATAACCAGCACGTTCTCTATGAACTTGATATCAAATTTTTGCCTCTTCGTCTCCGTTTGGTTAAAGTTACCCTCGCGGTCTATCTCTGGCAAATCAAAAGTGAGACGGATGACACAACGCCCCCCCGTACTTGCTTGTTACCACATTCCACCCGGCCACAATAAAAAACGGCCATTATTCACCTCCGTCGACTCCGGCCAAAATATGATACCCGGCAGTTAATTAAATACAGGCCAATATTAGAGGATTTACGGTATGCATTTTCCATTGAAGTACCCATCTTTCTTGTGTTTATTATAATTTTTTCACATAATTACAGCAATCTCATGCTAAATTTAAGAAAAATTTCATAATTATCCGATTAGTCGACTAATCGTGTCAAGTCGGTGACTAGTCGACTATTACCACCAGAATGGACTACTGTAACTCGCTTTATGCAGGCATCAAGCAGGCCTCCATAGCAAAACTGCAGAAGGTCCAAAATGCGGCAGCCAGGTTACTGACTGGTACCAGGAGATCTGAACACATCACGCCCATCTTGGCATCCCTACACTGGCTTTCAGTCTCTTTTAGAATTTCATTTAAAGTCCTGGTGTTTGTTTTTAAATGTTTAAATGAGTGTGCTCCACGTTATCTGTCGGATCTGATCCGTCCTTATGTTCCCGCAGGGAACCTTCGGTCAGCAGCACAGCAAGGACTGTTGGTCGTTCCTAAACACAGACTGAAATCCTGAGGGGTTCGTGCTTTTTCGGTGCTGGGGCCGAGGCTCTGGAATGAGCTACCTACATGTGTCAAACAGGCCACCACGCTTGGCAAGTTTAAGAGCCAGCTGAAAACACACGTTTATTCTTTAGCTTTTACTCAAGAAGAGTCTCGTTAACAGATGGCTTTGTACTTTTTTGCTGCCCCATCTAGATTTTATCTGCATGTTTTTGTTGGTTTTTAAATGGTTTTATATATTTTTATTTTTTATGTTCATTTCTGCTGTGCAGCACTTTGTTTGGTCCTTGGGCCATGTGAAGGCGCTATATAAATAAAGTTTGGTAGTAGTAGTAGTATTAAAATAGTTGTTAGTTTCAGCCCTACTTCTAAATCTACTTTCCATGTAAACTCAGGAGATTACAAACCAGATCTGAATAATACGAGGTCTGAAATAAATAAACCAGGGGTGTCCCATCACAGTTTTTTGCTCCAGATCCGAGTCCGAGTAATTTGATTTTAAGAATCTGCCATTACAGAGTCCTGATCCGATACTTCAGAAATGTAATAAGAAAAAAGGACAACGCACCACAGTTGTCCTTGGAAGTTTTTTAAAATAATTTACACTCTTCTTTCTTTCTGTATTTATATAATTTCTTTTATCTGCCATAAAACATGCTTGTTTGAGAAATATATTGATAAGAAACATGTTCATTTTAACAATGAGCCTTGTCGCTCGTATTTCATGTTGTTTACTCAGTGTGCTGCTGTTATGAACAACAGGGATGGCACAGAACACGACGGTCAGCAGCAGCATCACTCCTTTCTACAAAACACCTGTAGTGCTGCTGCATCTGTAAAATCAGGAAGAGGAAGCAAACCATACCACGCCTCAAGGAGACCGCAACCACAGACACTCATCTAAGCTGTTTTTACAGGACCGTAGCGTTTTCAAAACGGGATTAGCCGCGGCTCCCTGGGGAGGATTTTAGCATTTATAGTAGCAAAGCTGAAGCTAGAATAAACTGCCATCAGGCACCTCTCAAACCAAGAGGGGATATAGGGAGGTCGCTGGGCAGCCCCCCCCCCCCCCCCCCCGCATGTGACGCACAGGGTCGTGCATTCAGCGTCAGACGGAAGACACGTCAGACTGATGACATTTCTTTTCCAGGGCCTTTAGCTTTGATGTGACCTGCTTTATGTCCCGCTTGACGCCCCGCTCAGCCAGTGTTTTCACCACTCTGTCGAACAGCTGGCTGTCTCTCTCCGGCCCAGGATTGGCCAGCCCAGTCACCAGACATAAACATCATTGAGCATATGTGGGGTAGGATGAAAGAGGAAGCGGGGAAGACGAAACAAAAGAATATTGATGAACTCTGGGAGGCATGCAAGACTGTTTTCTTTGCTATTCCTGATGACTTCATCAATAAATTGTACGAATCCTTGCCAAACCGCATGGATGCTGTCCTTCAAGCTCATGGAAGTCAAACAAGATTTTGCTGATATATTTTTGGATTTGCTGTAAAACTGATCATTTTATAGGCGACACCACTTTTTGTCTTACCAGATTTTGACCTTTCTGTCTTGATTAAATGATACATCTCTTTCAGTGAAACTTTTTTTTTCAGTACATTTAACATTATTTGGGAGGGCTTTAACTTTTCATATGAGCCATTTCTAACACCAGTTGATCAATTAAAAGTCAGGTTAATAGCAGAAGTTTCTACAACATACACAAGCGAAAAGACTTCAGTCAGGAACTGTAAACCTTTTCGTCTTGATTTTTAATAAAAGATTTAGTCTAAAAGAAATTTGGAGAAAAATGTCAAAAGAAAATTAAGATTTAAATTGTTTGCAAAGATTAATCAATAGGAACAGATACTACTTTGTGTAAAGGTTTTAAAGACAGTGCAGCTGAAAAAATTTTCCAAATCACACAAAAATATACAACAGGAATTAATCACAATACAAATTCCATTTAAATTTTAGATTTCAGTCTGTCTGAAAAACTATCACATCAGTTTGTTGTGACACTACCTGGTGAAGACAGGAAGCTGGGACTGGATGACTTGAACCCTGATGATGACAAGCAGCAGAGTGCTGATGACGAGGACAATTAGCTTCAGGAGCGTTTGCAGGACAGCATACGGGAACCCATCTTTACCCTGCAAGACTTGCCGTAAAGTGTCCAGCAGCATTGGCAGGGTGAACTACGAGTGGAAAAGACAGCACAAAAGGAGAAAAATAGGTCAAGGCAATAAAAAATAAATAAAAGGACTTATTACATCAGTTTTATTATTCTTTTTTACAGGGTGTGCCATTGTATAAACCTACAATGACCAGTGATGACTATAAAAAATGCTCAGAAGAAATGGATAGTAGCCGCTGTTGTGTTAAATGCTCATCATCTGGGTCAGGTATCAGATTCAGTTTATTTACATAGCGCCAAATCCCTACAAGTCGTCTAAAAGGACTTCACAAAGTAAACATTACAATAGAGTTCAGTTCATTAAGCCAATCAGTTAAAACACTCTCACATGCTAAGAAAAAGAACTAAAAGATACAGGAAAATCTGTTTTCTTTGAATTTTTTATACATCTGGGGCAATATGAGTTATAATCTAGTGATGATGATAATTATATTCATTCATCTACATATTTTCATTCCTTTTTTTAAAGTATGGAACACTAAAACCACTTCAAATCCTACTGCTGATAATAAATCTTCCAGCTGAACAGGAAAAAAGTCTCCTACACTTATCACCTGCATTAGCTTCTGATAGAAAATAGACAGTGAAACTCAAAGATTAGAGAAGCCTGACAGATCTACGTCACACTTGTTTGAAAGAACATTATTGTTCTAACTGAACTGAATCAGAATCTTTGTATTGCCAGAGGAGTAAGCAGGTTGACACCATTCAGAAATTGCTGCGGTACTTGGTGCAAAAATAATAAATAAGTAGGGATGCTCAATATTGGCAATTTGTTTTATAGATGCATGCTTCTGAAACCATCGGATTTTGTATAGATTGAAAATTGTGCAAGCTGAATTTCTGAATGTCTTGCTTATTTTCTATATAAGGCAAACTTTATCTATCTATCCATCCATCCATATATGTGTGTGTGTGTGTGCGCGCGCATGTGTATGAATTTACTTTATTACACACATTGCTGCTTCTGAGATGATTACCATCACTGTCACATGACCAAACAGTTACACATCACCATCCCCCTCCCTCTCTGAAACACATAGACAAACAAAAACAAGATGGAAAAAATATCTGTTGTAAATATCAGCCCAGTTTAACTAGTCGGACCAATACAAATCTATTAAAAGATGACCAACATCGGCCAGTACCGATATTGACGCCGATATATTGTGCATCCCATAAGTCAACCATCACTGCAGCCTTCCACTAGTCAGGGATTTATGGCAGAGTGGCCCATCGGAAGTCTCGCCTAAGTGCAAGACACATGAAAGCCTGTGTAAAGTTTGCTAAAACACACCTGAAAGACCCTGAGATGGTGAGAAACAAGATTGTTTGGTCTGATGAACCCAAGACAGAACTTTTTGGCCTTAATTCTATGCAGTATGATTGAAGAAAACCAGGCACAGCTCATCACTTCTTCAATACAGCCCCCACAGTGAAACATGGCAGTGGCAGCATCATGCTGTGGGGGTGTTTGTCAGCTGCAGGCTGAGGGCCATGTGAGGACTTATGTGTGTACAGGCGCTTGTGTATGTAAGGTTTCTGGTTGCAGTCTCCTTGGGGTTCCTGTGTTCTGGGGCAGCGCCTGGATCTCTGGGACTTGGAGCTCCCCCCATCTCCTGCGCATCTTTGGGGGGGCGGATCTGTGGTCCTTCACACTCTCTGTTGGACGCTCCTATAGAGAAACCTTACATAAACAAGCGCGTGTACACACACAGGTGCTCACATGGTGCTCTCAAAAGTATGGGCTTGGGCACGTTAAACACAGGTCTTAAGACTATGGTGGGCACTTAATGCACTGTGATTTATTATCGTGATTCTTCAGTTAAGCAATGTTGATTATATATTTTCTTCATGAAGTTGACGCAGTGATAGCTAGATCTTGTTGTATTGTTGTTGTGTCCCATTATTTTTTGTCCTTTTGCTTTTTTTGTCTTTTTCTGCAGGTCTAGAAGCAGACTCTTGTTCATTATTGTTTATTTTTGTGGACCCCCCCCCCCCCCCACTTTTTCTTTTCCTTTCTCTTTCACCTCTGTCTCCGTGTCTGGTCGGAATTACAAAGCATTCAAAAACAATAACAATAAAGTTTTAAGTGACATTAAAAGCAGACACTTTGATGCTCCACCTGAGAGTAAATCTGTAAGGCTTGTCACCAGCATTCAGACATCAATTCTGTTTGCTTCACAGCCAGACAGGACACGGTAAAAAAAAAATAATAATAAAAAAAAAAGGTGTCTCTATAGGAGTGTCCAATAGTGAGTATGAGGGGCCAAAGACCTTGCCCATCTACATATATACCGGACAATTCCTGTCCATAGGCTCCAATTATACGTTTTTGTGCCAAAATGGGAGGTTCCCACCACCGCCATTTTGACCATGTCACAGGTTCCGTCAAGCCCAGACAATTCCAAAAAAGGAAAAAGAGGTGGAGCTGAGGGGCTGTAATACTGGGATCAAATGTGGACACCCATCGAACTGAAGCGATGTAGCTACAAGCTAACCCAAAGCTAACGCGGAAGTGAGAGCTAAGCAACGGAGGTAGCTACCTAGCTACAACCGGAGCTAACTGTGCACAACACCGGAGCTTCTGAGTCAGAGATACGCCGGGCTGCCACTGAGGGGATGGAGACCATACCAATAGAAGGAACCCAGCTCCACCAACATCTCATATTTAAACTCATTTTCGATAATGCAGCATTATGTTAAATGCATGGGGGTTTACCCTATTACATTTAAATTTCATGGTTAAACAGTACATGTGTGGGTAGGTTGTTTTCCGGCTAACTGGCTATTAACCATTAAGGGGCGTCAATGGCCAGTTAAAGAAATCTTGGTAAACGTGCATCCCTAATTCCCAGACACCAGAGATGGTCCCGTTCTTACTGGGGTAATGATGAGCAAGCATCCCTGCTCAACACAGAGCGAAGCAACTCACCACCCCAGACCCCAACCAGACGGCCAGCTCCCACTCCTAGCCTCCAGCCCTGGGTACCGAACCGAGAACAGAGGTGTGAGAAGACCCCTAGTCCCCTCCGACTGCTCCAATGTTGTGTTGAAGCATGTTGTTATTCAGCAGTTGGGGGTGGGATGGGGTAGCACAGACATCGTTCGGCCTACATTGGCTGGTGTCAGCACACAACCTCAACAACCCCTCAGGCAGAGTTAGATCCTCCCCCTCCTGGAGACTGCTCACCCTGTGATGGAGCAGAAGTGTTCCTGCCAGCTGAGAAGGTAACTCAAGATTTTGAATGGTGTATAGCCAGAGGCCTGAGGAAGGTTGTGTTTGATGTCCTGGAGATCTGGAGCACTTTTACAATAACAGTAGACCGCTAAGTTGTTAAGGTGTGGCGTTCTGATAAACTCTTACCTAAGAAGACAGCAGACTGTCATTAAATCAAGAGATACAACAACGAAATATTTTAAGGGAGTGATCAGTGTACTGCACCTTTTTCTTTTCACCCCCCCCCCCCCACACACACACCCACACCCACACCCACACACACACACCCACACACACACACACACACCCACACCCACACCCACACATTTGCTTTTCCAGTTAAATTATACAAGACATGGTTCCCAATAAAGGTGAATAAAGGGATATTGGGGAAATCTTTATTACGGTCTTATTCCTTAAAATGAAAAACTTAATGTATTTTTAGAAGTTTGTCATTTAAAGAGTTAATTATTTTCACACACACCTGAGGTTTCTAGTACTGTGAGTGTAAATAGAATACTTTCAAATGTCCCCAGGGTGCACCAAGAACTGGTTGAACTTCCTTATCATTTTACATTTCCTTGATATTGAGTAATTTTCATTAAACACTAAACTTCTCCAATACATTGAAGTTATTTTTTTCACAAGGTCTAAAGAAAATGTATTAAACTGATTGATAGGACAAAAATGTGTTGAATAAAGAAATCTGGAATGGCAGATGTCTTTTTTTAAAAATTACCTTTTTGTGTCAAAAAGGAACTCAACGTGATTGTTTTCCAAGTTCGTTTTGATTCTGATATATTTTATGAGACTTTCCTGGCGAAATACAGGACAAACAAATAAACAGATTTAAATGAATTAAACTCTGTGACCTCAAAGGCAAAGAACGTTCTATGACCGTACCCCTTGTGCAACGAACACTTCATGGACACAGCAGATGCCGACCACAGTTATTCCCTGCTCTTTACACAGTGTTGCTGCAGCTACCAGGACTACAGTCAGTGCGATGGGAGCCCAAACTGGAAAGGAAATAAAAGCAGACAGAAAACATAGTTTTATTGTAGATGGATGCTTCATTATATACAGAATTAGTCATTAGGTCTTTACTCCAGGTTTGTATACGCATGAACAAAAAATTGGTAAGAGACGTTCTAAAACCAGTATCCTACTGGGTTGTGATTGACCGCAACAAGATAAAATTAGCAATACAATTATACATTATTACAACAATTTGTTTGGTCATTTTAAACGTGTCACATGCAAACCAAGTTGTTTCATTTAGTTAAGTTTTTAGTTAGTTGAGTGCTACATTTTTGTACTGCTGCCGATATTAATGTTTGTAAATGTCCACTGAAAATTCAAACATGTAATTCCTATTCTGATCAGCACTACCCATTAATACCAGAAAGTCCCCGAGTAAAAAAATGCATTCAACTGTTTAAAGTTGATGCTTAACAACAGAAAATCATTCCTAAGTAACCCTATACAGTGGGGCAAAAAAGTATTTAGTCAGCCACCGATTGTGCAAGTTCTCCCACTTAAAATGATGACAGAGGTCAGTAATTTTCATCATAGGTACACTTCAACTGTGAGAGACAGAATGTGAAAAAAAAAATCCAAGAAATCACATGGCAGGATTTTTAAAGAATTTATTTGTAAATCAGGGTGGAAAATAAGTATTTGGTCAATAACAAAAATTCAACTCAATGCTTTGTAACATAACCTTTGTTGGCAATAACAGAGGTCAAACGATTACTATAGGCATTTACCAGGTTTGCACACACAGTAGCTGGTATTTTGGCCCATTCCTCCATGCAGATCTTCTCGAGTGCAGTGATGTTTTGGGGCTGTTGCCTAGCAACACAGACTTTCAACTCCCTCCACAGATTTTCTATGGGGTTGAGGTCTGGAGACTGGCTAGGCCACTGCAGGACTTTCAAATGCTTCTTACGGAGCCACTCCTTTGTTGCCCGGGCGGTGTGTTTGGGATCATTGTCGTGTTGGAAGACCCAGCCACGTTTCATCTTCAAAGCTCTCACTGATGGAAGGAGGTTTTGGCTCAGAATCTCATGATACATGGCCCCATTCATTCTGTCCTTAACACAGATCAGTCGTCCTGTCCCCTTAGCAGAAAAACAGCCCCAAAGCATGATGTTCCCACCCCCATGCTTCACAGTAGGTATGGTGTTTTTGGGATGCAACTCAGTATTCTTCTTCCTCCAAACACGACGAGTTGAGTTTATACCAAAAAGTTCTACTTTGGTTTCATCTGACCACATGACATTCTCCCAATCCTCTGCTGTATCATCCATGTGCTCTCTGGCAAACTTCAGACGGGCCTGGACATGCACTGGCTTCAGCAGCGGAACACGTCTGGCACTGCAGCATTTGATTCCCTGCCGTTGTAGTGTGTTACTGATGGTGACCTTTGTTACTGTGGTCCCAGCTCTCTGCAGGTCATTCACCAGGTCCCCCCATGTGGTTCTGGGATTCTTGCTCACCGTTCTCATGATCATTTTGACCCCACGGGATGAGATCTTGCGTGGAGCCCCAGATCGAGGGAGATTATCAGTGGTCTTGTATGTCTTCCATTTTCTGATAATTGCTCCCACAGATGAATTTTCACACCAAGCTGCTTGCCTATTGTAGAATCACTCATCCCAGTCTGGTGCAGGTCTACAATTCTTTTCCTGGTGTCCTTCGAAAGCTCTTTGGTCTTGGCCATAGTGGAGTTTGGAGTCTGACTGAGGCTGTGGACAGGTGTCTTTTATACAGATAATGTCTTCAAACAGGTGCCATTAATACAGGTAACGAGTGGAGGACAGAAAAGCGTCTTAAAGAAGACGTTACAGGTCTGTGAGAGCCAGAGATTTTCCTTGTTTGAAGTGACCAAATACTTATTTTACAACCTGATTTACAAATAAATTCTTTAAAAATCCTGCCATGTGAATTCATGGATTTTTTTGTCACATTCTGTCTCTCACAGTTGAAGTGTACCTATGATGAAAATTACTGACCTCTGTCGTTATTTTAAGTGGGAGAATTTGCACAATCGGTGGCTGACTAAATACTTTTTTGCCCCACTGTATGTCTTGTTTAATGAACAAAAATTAGAAAACCTCTTACATTAGACTTACCAATGGAGTGGTCAGTGCCAGTGGATTTAGTGTATGCCAAAAAAGCAGCCAGGAGGAAAATTGAAGAAAGAAGTTCAGCTCTACCAACCACACCAGTAACCTGATGAGAGAAAGTGACAACAGTCAGTTACTAGCTCTATCCTTACAGAACTTATTGTTTTTAATCCACCCAAGTGCTCATTATATGTAAAGCATGTCAGATCATCCCCACCAATTCAGTGGGAAACTTTGACAAAAAAAAAAAAAAACTGTGAAGAGGTCAACACAGAAAGCTCAGGAAACTTGTGTGAGGCCAAAGAAAGGAATGCACTCTTCTGAGCCAAACACTGATAACATGATGGAACATGAGCTAGACTACATTGATCTCAGAATGGAGGACACCATCCTACAGTGCTTTACTTCTCTTGTAAAAAGGTCTGGATCAGCAATGGCCTGCGGAAACTACCAAACAAGAGGCAGGGAGTAAAGCAAAGGCATCTATCCTGATTTGAGTCCACAAGGCCTTTTCAGTACAAAGACCAGAGGCCTTGTTCAAAATGCTTGCTTACTTAGAAAACAGGGTCTGAAATTGGCGTAAGAAACGTCCCGTGCAATATTGGTCATTCATTAAAAAAACCCGGCATGAGCATGTTTTGGAAATGGTAGCGCAGCAGGTGAGATGGTAAAAAGGTGAATTTTAGCCACATTTACAGACTTGCAGTCCCTCACACATGCACACACAGAAACAAATATGCTGATTTAGGATATGTAAGAACATTCATACTTACGTCTTCAAATGATGAAGCAATTGCACTTATTGGCGCTTAACTTAACCACATGCCCTGACACCTGTGATGTAAACAAAATTATAGGCTATAATGGCTTCTATTAGCTGCAGAGTAGATAAGGTAGACAGATTAATACTAAATTGACAAAAACATGCATAATGCTTTAATGCACTGGCACCCCCATTCTGCTGGGGGACTTTAACACTTATGTGGGCAACGACAGTGAGACCTTGAGAGGTGTGATTGGGAGGAATGCCCCCCCGATCTGAATCTGAGGGGTGTTTTGTTACTGGACTTCTGTGCATGTCATGGATTGTCCATAACGAACACCATGTTTAAGCATAAAGGTGTCCATTTGTGCTCTTGGCACCAGGATACCTTAGGCCACAGTTGGATGATTGACTTTGTAGTCATTTCATCTGATCTGCGGCCTCGTGTCTTGGACACTCTGGTGAAGAGAGGGGCAGCTGTCAAGTGATGGGGGAGGAAGCCCGTCAGACCTGGCAGGCCTAAACGTATTGTGAGGGTCTGCTGGGAATGTCTGGCGGAGTCCATTGTCAGAAGGAGCTTCAATTCCCACCTCTGACAGAATTTCGAACACGTTCAGAGGGAAGCGGGGGACATTGAGGTCAAGTGGGCCATGTTCCGTGCTTCTATTTTTGAGGCGGCTGACCAAAGCTGCGGTCGCAGGGTTGTCGGTGCCTGTCATGGTGGCAACCCCCAAACCCGCTGGTGGACACTGGCAGTTACGGACACTGTCAAGCTGAAGAAAGAGTTTTATAGAGTCTTTTTGGCCTGTGGGACTCTAGAGGCAGCTGATGGGTACTGGCAGTCCAAGCGGAATGCAGCTCGGGTGGTTGCAGAGGCAAAAACCCAGGCATGGGAGGAGTTTGGTGAGGATATAGAGCAAGACTTCTGTCCGGCTTAGAGGAGATTCTGTCCATCCGGCGTCCCAGGAGGGAAAAGCAGTGCGCTACCAACACTGTTTACAGTAGTGACGGTGTTTTGCTGACCTCTACTCAGGACGTTGTGGATCGGTGGGAGGAATATTTCGAAGACCTCCTCAATCCAGTCTTCTAGTGAGGAAGCAGAGTCTGGGGACTTTGGGTTGGACTCTCTAATCTCTGGAGCTGAGGTCAATGAGGAGGTCAAAAAGCTCATTGGTGGCAAGGCCCCGGGGGTGGATAAGATCCACCCAGAGCTGCTTAAGGCTCTGGATGTTGTGCGGCTGTAATGGCTCTGCAACATCGCGTGGACATCGGGGACAGTTCCACTGGATTGGCAGACTGGGGTGGACCCCTATTTAAAAAGGGGGGGGCAGCAGAGTGTGTTCCAACTACAGAGGAATCACACTACTGAGCCTCCCTGGTAAGGTCTGTTCCGGGGTTCTGGAGAGGAGTGTCAATTGGACTGTCAAAACTCGGATTCAGGAGGAGCAATGTGTTTTTCATCCTGGCCGGGGAATACTGGACCAGCTCTATATCCTTAGGGGGGTCCTGGAGAGTGCATGGGAGTTTGCCCAACCAATCTACATGTGTTTTGTGGATTTGGAGAAGGCGTTCGATAATGTTCCTCAAGGGGGCCCTGTTGGGGGTACACCAGGAGCATGGAGTACCAGGCCCTTTGATAAGGGCTGTAAGGTTTGGTTAGAAGGCTGGTGTCAGAGCTTGGGCCGCATTGCCGGCAGTAAGTCGGGCTCGTTCCCAGTGAGAGTTGGACTCCGCCAAGGCTGCCCTTGGTCACCGATTCTGTTCATAACAGCCAAGGTGTTGAGGGGATCTGTTTTGGTGGCCTAAGGATCAGGTCTCTGCTTTTGCAGATGATGTAGTCCTGTTGGCTTCATCAGACAGTGATCTCCAGCTTTCGCTGAAGCAGTCCCTCTGGAGGAGATGAAGAGGTGTAATTGCACACCAGCTCCCACTAACAGATCACCAGAAGTTAAAAACTAGGTACTCTGCACCAATCTGCTTGAACTTTCCTCAGATGAAAAGCAAACTGTTTTCAAGGAAACTAAATTTAAGTCCTGTTGCCTTTTATCTGACCCTTATAGGCTGCTCTGCGATGATGCCACTCAACTTGGTCCAAGCTAAACCATTGCTGTGGACAAAGCTGCTGAAGTCTAAGAATATTTTATGTGGAGTGAGCTGAGTAAAACAACTAAAATATAGCTTGGAAATGACAACCGTATTTTCCGGACTATAAGTCGCACTTTTTTTATAGTCTGGCTGGTCCTGCTACTTATGTACCAAAGTGACATATACCCAATTATGTATACCGCGTTGCTGCGGGCCGGTTCCGGCCCAGGTTTCAGCTCCTCTGCCCCGCCATCACCTGTGGTGAGCTGCTGCGGGCCGGCTCCGACCCAGGAATGAGCTCCCCTGTCCTGCTGGGAGGGTTTGAAACACCGCCATCCTCTGTTGGAGACCGTGGCGCGCTGCTGCGCCCTGGTTGTTTATTCTGTAATTTTTAACTGTACTTGTCTTGCAATGTGAAATGCTTGGTCTCAGATTTTGTAAGAAAAATAATAAAATTTCCCCCCAAAATGCAACTTATAGTAAAGTGCGACTTATATATGGTTATTTTCTTCTTCATTATACATTTTATGGCTGGTGCGACTTATACTCCGGAAAATATGGTACATTTAAAGATCTTAAGACACACAAAATATTTTGCACAAAAATAATTAAATTAAAATAGAAAAAAGATCAAATCTGCTTCAGCTAGCTAAATAAATTACTGCCAACACCACTGGGATTCGAACCCATTTCAGAACATGGTAAAACAAGCTGAAATGCAGTTACTTAAAGCACTGGACTACCAAGAACAATACAACAACAGACTGGCGTAAAGCCTAATTTATACTTCTCCATCTACATCAGTGCAGACACACACAATTATTGCATTATACAATACATACAATTGCCATTATGTGTCTGCGCCAGAGCTCTCAAGCTAGCTTACAGAGGGTGACAGAGACATGCCCAATTTGTTAACCATCTGTGGAAAATAACAGAGGCCGCAAGCTTGTGATTGATCAAGATGCTGCTTCCTGTAAATTTGTCAACAACACTGTTAAAACATAGAAAGATATTTAGCAGCAGACCCAGAACAGATTGAAGAATGCATCGCAGAAAAAGTAAAAAATAATGAATGTTAATTCACCCGTGACTGAAGGAGAACAAAAAAGAAAACAGAACTAACAATTTAATCGTGGATGGAAATGATGGGAAATGTGGGTTTAGAGCATGGTTTAGAGGTGGCGACTGCATGAAAAGGTGGAGGAGTATGAAGGACAAATTTGTCCACGTTATAATGTCTCTGAAATATATAAAAACATAAGTAAATACACTATTGTGGACCGGATACAAGAGTGTAATGATGGATAAACACATAAGTAAATACACTATTGTGGACCGGATACAAGAGTGTAATGATGGATAAACACATAAGTAAATACACTATTGTGGACCGGATACAGGAGTGTAATGATGGCATGATACCACACATAAGAAGCCTAGTGTAACTAAAGTCTTGTCTTGCATAGTTTGGTCTAGGAATGCTCCATTGGAAGCTCCACAGCCCCTAGCAGCATTCTGGCTTGTCGTTCACAGCTCTCTATAAGGGTTTCAAACAGGGGTGGGCGATATGGAAAAAAAAAAATCATATCATGATGTTGTTTTTTAAAAATCACGATCACGATTTTTTCTATTTTGACAATTCAGATGTTTGTAAGTTCTTTACCAGTAAAATGCACACATTTTAAATCATAACCTTTCAAAGAAAATATAGGATAAAATATTTCAGAATCCTAAATAAACAATCTTCAAATTCCATTATCTATTTATCTCTTCCACTGTCTCTCTCTTTCTCTGTCTCTCTCTCTATTTCTCCATCTCTCTACCTACAGTTGAGAGCTACAGATCAACACATTCTCACACCCAAAGCGTCAAAATATGACGAATTGGGATGCCCCAGTGCATCAGGAGAGGATGCACTGTCCCAGAGCGTCGGTATCCAACGCCCGCGGTGAGACGGACATTTGACCGACTTGTGAACTACTTAACCTTCCCCTCACCCCCATTCTAACCTTAACTCAGCTGAGTTACTGAGTTAAGGTTAGGATTAGGGTGAGGGGAAGGTTAAATCGAGGAATAATGTCCGTGTCACCGTGGGCGTCAAACACGGATGCCAGCGTTGACACGTGTCCCTGCGCGTCCTCTCCTGACGTGCTGGGGCATCCCAATTTGTCAAATTTTGACGCTTTGAGTATGAGAATGTGTTGGCTAGACATACATGTCTCAAATGTCGCACAGGCATTTTCATTTAATTATAT